GATCTCAGCTGAAGAATTGTCTCCATCAGACTGGGGCCATGGACCTGTCTATGAGACATTTCAGTAACTGATGGGACGGTCCAGCCTACTTTGGGCAGTCCAATTTTGTTTAGAAAAGCATCTGAGCAAGCTATGAAAACGAAGCAAGTAAATAGTTTTCTTCCATTGTTTCTGCCTCTGGGTTCTGCTTAAGTTCCTGCCCTAACTCCCTAACAAGATGGATTGTAGTGCTCTGGGTCTGTGTTTTGTTATAGCAACAGAGCTGAGGACAGTTTGATATGCTTATGGATGAGTAGAGAAGTTAGTCTTTCCGGTGTTCTACTACTGAGAACTGGGTTCAAGTTAGGCCACCAATATCCTGGAATGGGACTATCTCCAATATCTACCTTGACCCTAGTTCAGACCAAAGTTGTGGCTTGCTGGCTACCGATCCCAATTTCTGTAGGGAAGGTGTTATCAGTGGTCTTAAAAATCTGTCTGGGAGCCTGGGGGGTTGGCTCAGTGGTCAAGAACTCTAGCTGCTCTTTTAATTCGATGTCCAGAACTCACAGGACAGCTCACAACCATCTATAACTCCAACACCCTCTACTGGCCTCCATGGGTACCAGGCACACTTGTGGTGCATGTACATAGGTACAGACAAAACACCCATACACATATTTTTTTAAAAAATCATTATGAGAGGAAGAGTAACTTCTCTCACTTCAAAATTGGTGTCTTCATTGAAATCGATCTTGCCTGCAGCAATTATCACACTCAGGAACCTCTCCTGATTGGTTCCAAATGGCAAAATCTAAATCTAAAGACAAGGCAGCCCCCTCTCTGCAGCCCCAAGAGAATTTAGAATTACATAGTACACTTAACCTTGGGACCCAACCTGTTGAATCTTTTGTGGGAAGTCATAAAATTTACTCATTTGGAGTTCCAGATTCTATTGAGTTGGGTTCACAAATAATTCATGCAATAGAGACAGGAGTTGAATTTGGCGACTTACTGGACAGACGCTTATTGGCCTTATGCATCCATCATGCATATAAGGGGAATCCGGAAACTTTATGAATAGTGCTACAAGGCGCTACCTTGAAAAGAATGGGATAATTTGCAAGGTTCTAGATAATAATCCCAGTAGCAATTTGAATGAGTTTCTTCCAGACACAGTGCCAAGTCGGAAAATGAGACAAGCCTTACTGGCCCTTGCCAACAATAGCAATGGACATGGGAAAATAGGGCAATTCCTTTCCATTTGCATCTTGTTCCTGCCTAAACTAGTTGTGGGGGAGGGGCCATGTCTAGAAAAGTCCAGCACCAAATAGTTGTCCACAGAGAAGAAGGCTTAGCACGATGTCCTTAAGGATGGAACATTCCTGGTTCCAGGATGATAATTTTTAGGGTCATGAGAGTCAGTTTTACTTTCAAATTCATGTTAATCCATCAAGGCATTAATCTAGTGGCAGGGCACGAGCCTGACAACATTATAATCACCATTTCTGTGACTCAAGCTCGATTCTCAGGGCTCTTGTCAAAACTTTTCTAGATCACACATTGGGCAAGGACAGAGATTGAGAAACTCTCCACCCACTAGTTGGGACAAAGTTAGGTCAGAGGTAGAAAACTTCAAATTGGCCCTGAAAGGGTTGGCATGACACTGTGAATATGCTCCCTTTGCATGAATCATGAGCCTATCAGGGGCCAACAACCTGGAGCATGGGGCTACCCCTCAACTGTCAGTCATTGCCCTATAAGTAGCAACAGCCTACGGATGCATCCTAACTGACAGGACAGTAGGAGAACAATAGCAGTAGTTGAACAATAGCTACGCGATGGGAAGCCACTACTGAAGCAGAAAGAGGTTTGCAGAAACGACTCTGAATAAAGAACACGAAACTAGTCGGCTGGGATTTGACCTGACTGAGGCAAAGATTCTCTCAGACTTCCACAAAAAGAAGCATGAAATTGGCAATCAACAAGCAGAGGTGATTCTTGTCACGAAGTGGGGAAAAACTCCAGCAACTTGCTGCTGGCATCATTAACACCAATGAAAGGTAGCCAGCCTCTCAGGCCCCCCTCCCACCCCCAGTTTCTGGCACCACACCAGCCCCCTCCAGAGCAGAGGAACGCCCCTCACTGCTGGATGCTGGACGAACAGGAAGCAGATCATGCAGAGCAAGAACTACTAGAGCACGATGCTGACCTCGAAGTAGAAGACAACAATCCCAACAAGCTGCCCGAACATGAGAGCTCCCAGGATCGACATCCCAAATTTTCAATCTTAGATGCCGACTCAGGCGGGCAAGGATAAAGACAAGAATGGAGGCTCTGTTAGCGTGACCCCACGATTCCTAAAAAAAATTCTCACTGGCCACATGGAAGCCCCTCCAGAGAAACCAAACAGTCAGAAGGCATTGAGAATTCTCAACTAATTCTACTTAAAGTTGATCAGTGTCTGGCAGGGAACTTAACACTGAACCTTGCCACAACCACCATCCCTCCCAAGATACAGGCAGTCTTGGGCACAGGTTTCTGGTCATTCCAGCTCAAGAGAGTCTTTCTTCAATTCCCGAATTGCCTGGCGAAACCTGAGCTCATTCTTCCTTTGTAGAGGCACCGCCTCCTCCCATTTATCCCATTTCTGGCAACGAAAAGGGAGTTGCCCAGCAACAACAAAACAGTCAGCTTGAGGCCCTCAGTCCGTCCAATGTGACCTCTAACCTGCGACTGGATATACCTCCAACAAAACCTGGCTTAAGTGCTGAACAGCTGAAGGAGGCAAAAGAAACACACTGCAAGGGTGCTCACAGTGAGGGCCTCCATGCAGGACTGTCACTGTATTACAGCACAACTGGACAGGCCTAACGCTTCTCAACTCTAAGCAGTGCCTCTCTCCAAGGCCTGACAAGCCTGCCAGGAGTGAGTGCCCCTGTAATCACAAAGGAGGGAAGCATTTGAGGAAGATGATACGCTAACTTTGGATGGTCAAAAGCAGCATTGGAGTCAGCTGAATATGTCATCTCGATTTGAGTATTGTTACAAAGCCTTAGAGCCCTATGTAAAAACGACTCTACTACCTCAACAGTCAGTGATTCCTATTGGCGGGTCTACTACTCACGAATAATAACATAGTTCTCAGGGAGACTTACCAATTTGCATCTTATGGGCTTGTTATATCATCCTTGATTGAGAGTTAATTGTTCATTATCTGATTCCATTCTTCTGTTTAAACTAAGGATGCACAACATTGTATAGGACAGATGAGTTTATATCCTGCAAATTCTTATGTTACTAAGAAAAAATCATTATGAAGAAGGAATCTGTTGGCAATACAAGGAAATATGCCACCTGGTAGGTAGGATACCATTTAAGGAGTAGGGTTCATTTCAGGGTAGGTACTAGGGTATGACAAGCTCTTTAAAGACAGGTGAGTAATGTGTTTGTCAAACAGCTCTCTTTTTTTCACAGTTGCTCTGTGTAGCAGAGGGTGAGCTTGAGTTCCTGATCCCCCTGCCTTTTCCCCACCAAGTGCCAGGATCCCAGGAATGGGTAGTCACACCCTGCTCAACAACATGCATTTATGAAGCTGTTGTTCACACAGGATGTAACTGTATCTAGTACTATGAAGACTACCATGTCAAATAAACCTTATGGCTCCCACAATGAAAAAAAAGTGTACAAACAGTTCATCTAAATGCATAGTATCATCATCTAGCTCTGTGAGAGCCCTCACTTTGTTCACACAGAACTAGACAGAGTGGCAGAGTCAAAGCCACCAGCAACCACTGTGGCAGAGTCAAAGTGGGCATTCCTGTACCATTTATCAATAACTAACTTATCGAATAAGCCAATCATTAGCTCTTTGAAATCTGGTACCTCAGCCATCTTCTACCCTGAGCAAAAATTAACAAAATCATCTTTAAGATTCCATTTTCAAAAAAAACCAGAAGCAGGCCATTTTAATAGCCATTATTTTTAGACAGGGTCATGTATACCTTTGGACTGTCCCAAGTTTGCTATGTATCTGAGAGTGACCTTTTTCCCACCAAGTGCCAGGATCACAGGAATAGGGGAACCACACCCTGCTCAATAAAGCTGTCGTTCCCATTGAAATTAATAGGGCGTCTGATGATCATTCATCACTTCCTCTGACCTGAGGCTTGGAGACTTGGTATACACGGGGGTGGGGGAGGGGGGATAAATGCTGGTATCAGCTCCATCAGTAGTAATGGAAGGATGGGGATGAGTGCCTAACACAAGTCATTCTGGATTCATCTATAGACATCCCAATCCAACACATATCTATATAGAACTTGGTATTTAAAATAAACACATAATAAATTAAAAATATACCATTTAACAGACCTATAACTTTTGCTGGACAAGTTACTAAATCTCTTGATCCCATTGGCATACAATGGAGGAGCAACCACCTCTCTCAATAGCATGAGGATTTTGACCCTCATTTTCATCAAACACCAAGCACAGTGGCTAACATACTCCCTCTCCAAGGACAGTGGTTAGAACATTTACTCCTCAGTAAGGGACAGCTGACAGTCATGATATCCTTCAAAAGTCAAAGATACTGAGGTAGGGAATCAGGCAGTGGTGGTACACATCTTTAATCCCAGCACTTGGAAGGCAGAGACAGGCAGAGCTCTGTGAGTTTGAAGACAGCCTGGTCTACAGAGCTAGTTCCAGGAGAGCCAGGGCTACACAGAGAAATCCTGTCTCAAAAAAACAAACAAAAAACACAATGAAATAGGGGGAAAATGTCATCAAGAATTTTGAAAAAGGAGGCCAGACAAGGGGTGAGCATTGAATAGACAAAGCATGAGATGGTCTGCCCAAGAAAAAAAATTGCCTTTGCTGTTAATACATCTCCCTTGATCTCAAGTGCCCTGGTTCCGTCAATTCCTTGTTACTGAGCGGCCAGTCACAGGTGTTTCCACAGTAGCCATGCCAGGTGCTCTGCTTGCAGTGTCAGCCCTGGGGTGGTTACTGCTGTGGGTGATAGTGATAATGGCTGCCATCAACCGAGTTTACATCTCCACCTCATAATCTACACCAGAGGAAGAGTTTATTGCATGGTATGTTGGTGGTTCTGTGGGAATGGGAAGACCTACTCTGGAAATTTCCCATAGTAAGGAATCTAATTGTCTACTATGATCCCAGAACCATTAATGCCTCTGTGTAGTCCTGGCAGCTCTTGGATTGGTAGCCAAAAGAAGCAGCACTACAGTTTTATGCTTCACTTGGGGAACGTAAAAGGCATTTTGTGTGTGCATATGTGTACACAGTGGCAAACATATACACATCCATGTACGTAGCATGCATCTGTTTATTGAGCACTTACCCTATTCTAAGCAGTGTTCTCGATTCATTCTCACATTGACTCGAGGAGGTGGGTAGTATGATTTCAGGTCAGCTTGCCCAATGTTGGCCAGTGATTGAGTAGCATCTGACCCAGAGCATCTGCCTTGGAACCATGGCCTTATCTTCTCCATAGCTTCACGTTTGTTTTTCCTGTTTGTTTGTTGTTTTGGCTGTTTGTTTTATGCACTGCAGCTGACACATTTTCACACCCTTCCTATTTCAAAAGGGCTGGAGGCTCCTCAGACAGGCCCTAGGTAGTACTCCAGGGGCCCTGTTTCCTTTCAGCAGGGGATTGTCCACTTTCTAAGTCACAATCTCCTCTCTACAAAGCTTGGCGTTTGGCGTTCTCTCAGCCTTCCACCAGCTTCTCCCAAGCCACGCTGCTTATAGTCTATGTCCACAACTCAATTCAGAACTTGGTGTATTCATTCTTAGTGACATTTCTAACACATCTAGTTGCTTATTGGACTTGATTACATGTGGCACTCTCTGGGGGAGTTATAGAACCTTTAGGGGGGGTGGAGCCTTGCTAAAGGAAGTATGCCACTACCTGTGCATGCAATGTGATCAGGCTGCTCCCCACTCCTGCCATAACCCTTTGGAATCATAAGCAACTTCTCCAAATTGCTTTTGGTCATGGTATTTTATCACAGCAACAGAAAAAAATAATCAATACAATCAACAAAGCCCCCAAACTTCCTTACTTGCTTAAAAAATATGGTGTGTTTGCTACACAACTATTGCTTCTCAGAGTACATTATGTTTAGAAATACTTAAGAGATGGATAATTCCTTTTGGCTAAGTACAAGGAAATATGATGTAATAAAAGAACTTGAGAGACATCTCATGCTCTAGTCCTGCTTCAAGGGAGGGTTGGGAGGGGCAAATTGGACATTACACATAGGTTTGTCAGTCCAGGATAAACAGCTCCCTTGTCAAGGAAGCAGCTCTTACACAGCTTCCTTTTGGAGGTGTGATGAGTTGGGAGGGAAGAGGGGGACCATAACAGGCCAAGAGACACAAAAAGAGATAGTTCAGTTCTGTAAATATGAAGTGCTCAAGCCTGATTCACTAGCTTAAAAATGAGCCAGAAGCAGGAATTGATGGTGCAAGTGCCAGGGCCACAGGAGTCTGGAAAGCCCTTTAGAGGTAGGAAGAAAATGCCAGGCAGATGGGGAGAATCCACAGGAAGCTAGGGTGTGTGGGCAGAGAGAAGGATGAGGACTTGCAGTGTGAGCAAAGACAAATGATGCATTTTTTTTTCAGTGAGAAAAATAGGCCAAATCATGTTTATGGCTCACTGATTCTCTAAGCCTTCTTGACCTGCAAACTCTGACCAAGTGCAAGGTAAGGTTTTATTGAGGGAGGAGGATGAAGACACAAAGGAACACAAAGACAACCTTATCTCTGCTTTAAGGCCCAGGGACAATCAGGCCCAGGGGAAATACACCAAAACAAACACAAACATCAGCAAGGATTATGTGATACAACTCCAAAGAGAGGAAGCATGCAAATTACCAAAGAGCAACAACAGAGAGATTATTAGCCTTGCTCAGAGGAGGGCAAAAGGGATAAGAGTTACTTCCTGAGTAACTTCCTACCTGATGTACAAGAACTAGAAATCTGCTTGCAGTAAATGCTGGTGGTACAGAACATAAATGAAAAGGTATCTTGGGTGTTCTCCCAGAAACGTTGGTCCTAAAGAGCTACTAAAACCTTGGTCAGCAGTGGGAAATCTAAGGAAATGTGCTGTCAGGGAAAGAACCAAACTTGGGCTGTAAGTTGGGGGTGAAAATCTGCTTGGGTCAACCCAGAGCATATCTGAATTAAATAACGCTTCAGTATACATCTGGTGTGACTAAGTGTCTTGTCCCATTTAAAAGGCTACACAGATTGCCACAGCATGAATACACAGACAGCCTGGGAAGAGGCAAATTGAAAACAGTAGAGCTTAGTAAAGATGTAAAGCCATTTAGATGCTCAGGCGCTAGCTAGTCTGGAGTTGGATGGTTTACTCTACAATCAAAGGAGTAGACCAGGCTCACCCAGGGCCTTTATGTTAACCTCACCAGTGTTGAGATCAGTCTGCAGCCTGCCCTACATTGCTTCATAATGTGTAAAGTACTGCTTTTTCTCACTGCCTTCTGCCTAGTAGACTCCATCTTACAGGCAGCTTCTGACTCCATTTTGAGGATGCAGGGTGACAGCGTACCTTGTTGGGCACATAAAATACCATCTATGCAGCACCACCCACATGACATTGACTTGGACCTTATTCCTAAAAGTGAGAAGGATGCCAAACTATAAATTTATCAGAATAACTTGGGACTATAGAAGCTCGTGGGTGTACTGAAACCAGATCAGGAAAACCAGACCTGAGACACACCAGCCTGGGAAAAACGTGTAACTCCCTCACTCGTACCCCCTAGAGAGAGAACATGCGCTACTGCAATAGCCATGGCCGCTATCACCCGTCTCTTCTCACCAGCTGGCATGGGTGCCGAGAGACTGACAGAGAGTTTACTATCCCAGAGGGCTTCAGTTCAGCCAACTTCCCTGATATTGATGCAACCAATGCAGATTGTCATCTGCCTGTCTACCTGTTTGTCCATCTATATCTTCTTATTCTTTGGTCCACTCTCTCATTTGCCTGGTCCTAGCCCTGCCCTTGGATTCTCCTGCCTCCAGGCAGACTCTCCTGCCTCCACTGTACCTCACTCTAGTAGTTCTAGTTTGATTCTGAAAGGACTCAAAGGCGGCATCAGCATCAGAGGTGCTTACAGCAGACCTCCAGTGGAGTTAGCTCTCTGACCCCTACCCCCTGAGATCCACACCCTGCCCCACACCCACCCGTACTCTTGTGCATCTCTATAGGTCTCCCAACTTTGGCCTCCAGGGCATCTTTGGACTCTGCTGTGACCTTCTTATAGCTACTATATAACCTACACGGATAGATTATATTTACTGCCTTAACAGGTAATTTTAAGATTTGAGAGTTAATTTTAGTAATTAAGATCTGAACAAAAGAAAGCTGAAGAGATGGCTCAGTGGTTAAGAGAGATGCTCTTCTTACAGAGGGACCAGATTTCAGATCTACCTGATGTACCCACATCATGAGGCAAAATACCTATAGCTCTGCCTCCAAGGATCTGATGCTTCTGGCTTCCTCACACACCTGCACGCGCATACACACACACACACAAGTGCACATACTATTTAAAATATTTTTTAAAGATTTGAATAAAAGAGCCTGTGTTTCCCTTGACCTATCACAGAAAGTGATACTGCTTGCCACACTGCTGTCCAAAACAAACATTGCTTGTGAAATTCTTGCTATTCAACAAATTTTGACACTGTAGTAAGACATAAACATGTTTATGTTTCTGACATAGCATGCCCATGACAATCAGAGAAAAGAATAATGGGCATGATTATCACATACTCCATCAGAAGTTGTGTTAAAATCAAGGGACAAGGATGCTTCTATCAACTTCTTAGTGTCATTTACTAACAGTAAGTAACACTTAGATTTGCACGATCTATGTTTGTGAGTTCCAGTTAGAAACAGTCATTTAACTTCCGATGGCACAAACAATGCTTTGATAAAGTCAACGTAAAGATCTGCGTTATAGTAACTCAAAGTGCTGGGAGGTGAGGCAGCCAGATCTCTGTCTGTCTGTCTGTCTGTCTGTCTGTCTGTCTGTCTGTGTCTCTCTCTCTCTTTCTCTCTCAGGGAGGTAGAACTTCATAGATATATGAGAAAGGGATGGAAGGGGAGCTGGTCATTCCAAACACAAAGACGACCTCGAGGAGGAGGAGGAGGGATAGTGAAATAACTGGTAGTGCCTTGATACCTGTCAACTCCCTCTCACACAGAAGTCAGCTTTTACATTAGAAGGTCTCATCTGTCCCCTTCTCTAATCTCAGTTCCACCTGTGAGCTAAGACTCCCACCTACCCTCTTCTGGAACAGAACTGCAAATACCCCCTGCTACTGTGGACAAGTTGTCAAAACGTGTAGCTCAGCTAAAACTGAAGAACACACACAACCAACTGATGGTAATGTTTTCTTAACATTGACACAGAATGTCCCCACTTGTAGCAAAAAACGCCCGAATGTCTGTTCTACAATAAAACACCTGCCCACTTAAATCTAAAGACAGTACAGCAGTGACATCTCCTAAGTTAGACAATGCCATGAAGACACACTCGGATCCATCAAGCAGAAGTTGGTCATGAGACTGACCCAACAGACTGTAGTGAATACAGAACACAGCGCATGCCCTTGGCACTGATCATCTAGCGAGAGAGACTTCACAGATCAACAGTCAAGTAAGTACTTCATTTGTTTCTGTAGCTGATATAAGGTCATATTTTAGCCAAGATTAAGCCAGGTACCTAACCTTGGTAACCTTAGAGATGGTACTTAGAGCCATGGGAGAAGCTGAAATTGCCAAAGGAGAGTGTGTGAACAAGGCTTCCTGAGAACTTAAGGACTTGACATGAGGAGGAAAAATGAGTGGACAGGTGAGACATCGTGTCTTATAGCAGAAGACAAAAGGACAGTGTTTCTGGAAGGCAGGTGTGATAGGTAGATGGGTGCTGCTCAGAGAGCGAGTCAGAAGAAGGCTGGACGAAAGCTAATTTGGCTAAAGCAAGCTGCTCCAGGTGGCTGCAGCAAGGTCAGTCTCTTTGACATGGTGACTTGGAAGCCAGAACTGAAAGGAGAAAGGAGGTTAAGAGGAACTGATTTCTACCCAACTCTCAGAAAAGTAGCACGACTGGGAGGAGGCACAAGGAGTGACAGCTGGGGGAGGTGTGGCATCAATGGAGGTCTATTGGCTCCATAGAGGAGCCCACTATACATTTAAGTGCTAAAGGGAAGGACCGGGCAGTGAAAAAGAAGCTGAAACTTTACAAAGTATATCATGGCTGGGACAGCCCTCAGGCCAGGGAGTAAGGGGTAGAGTGCCAAAGGCCCGCCCTTAGCTAGAGGAGGGACGAGAGGGCATTGTATGTTTTTGCCAATCTTTTCTCTGCTAGTGGAGGGTATGGGGACATTCAAACTCTGGGAAGTAGTTGTGAACGAAGGGAGTTTATGAAGACGGGGAAAGGAAAAACATGATAGACCACTGAATGGTGTTGAGGATTCTACTGCGTGTGAGGAATATGACATTAGAGCAATGCCATAATGTCCAGTTATGTCACATTCTTTAGTTGATTCTCACAGATGCAGGTCCAGATGTAAACAAAGCCAGGGAAGGACAAGCATGGGCAAACAAGGGGCAGACTCATGTTTCCAGAACACTGTAGGAAAAATCATGGCCTCTGGCCCATGTACAAATGAAGATAGGAGGTTTCCAAGCATAGGCCTAGCAGAGAGGCTATGGGCTGTGGGAAAGCCAGGAGAACTTCCAGCAAGCACTCACTCGGTTAGCATAATGGAAGGTTCAGACTTTGGGGGAAGAGACAATGCTTTGTGTTTCCAAGCAAGAGTCCTACTTGGAGAAGCACATTTGCAAAATCTAAATTTTGTGGCAAACATGCTCAAATTCTGCCCAAAAGGGCAGCAAACCCCACATTTCTCTTTACATCTGATAAATGCCATCCTTTAGTTTTCTTCCCTCTTTCTAATCACTATGCCTCTTCTGTTGCTTTCTCAGAAATTAGTCTGTGGTTAGGTGCTGTCACCATTCTCAATTGACTCAAGAATTTCAAAACTTTGACTCCAAACATTTAATTTCTGAAGCTTGACTCCTTAAGCATGGTACACACCTTTGATCCCAGCACTCTGGAGGCAGAAACAGGCAGATGTCCCTGAGTTTGAGGCCAGCCTGGTCTACATGGTGACTTCCAGGCTATACGGTGAGACCTTGTCTCAGAAAGAGTTTGATTCAGTCAATGTTTAAATAGATAATAAAATCATTTGCAGTAGGTGTACAACAAACAAAAGGACAAAACCAAGAGCCTATAATAGCAGACAGCATTATAATGTGTCCTCTATTTCCACTCACCAAACTCAAACTGCTGCTTTTTGGAGTTTTCTGTCAGGTTCTATATTGCCAAGTGTTGTGACTGCCTCCAAGAAAAACTCCAGGAAGTCTTGGAGTGGGTTAGTATGCCCTTTCCAGAGATTTCCAGCCACTCCCTTCTAGGATCCCCTCCCAACCTGGGTAATTCTGCCCCAGATGCACACAGTCCCTGAAGGTACTGGAATATTAGAAGGTTATCTGAAGGTGAGACTCTGTCTGTGCAGCCATGGAAACACTGTCATTCAAGCTTGGGTGATCCTTTTTGGTGATATAGCTGTTTGAGAGTTGTCACCTGCACTCAGGTAAGTAACCATTCACTCTTTCGCATAGTTGAGCCTAGAAAACTACTTGTGAGGCTGTATTTGAGTGCCTTTTCCATAGTCTATCACTGGTGCACTATTTGGACTAATACATATCTGTATATTCACATACACACATTCACACACACACACACACACACACACACACACACACACACACACACACACACACACACCAGGAAATGCTAATCCAGCCCCAGGGTTATTGTATTATCCCTCCTTGTAGAAGTCCTTCAGTTAAGAACCGAAAGGCTTCCTAGTCCTGTGTGGTGTAACCTCATCTTCCTCCATGTTCTTTTTGGTTGTTTATTTTTGTTTGAGGCAGGGTTTCACTATGTAGCCGTAACTAGCCTAGAACTCACTAGGTAGACGAGGTTGGCATCAGCTTGCTGCAGTCCTTCTGCTCCTGCCTACCAAATGCTAGGAATGCCAACGTGTGCTACTACACTCCTCTCTCCAGTCCTTTCGCCTGTCTTATTTTGTAGGCCTACACCCCTTCCCACCCCACCTTCTAAACAGTAGCTCTACTACATTTTCACATCCTGGTATTTCTTCTACCATTTCCAGCCTTCAAGATGTGTTCCAAAATGGATTTCTCAGTGTCTACTTTATTGAATGTTTTTTTATTAAACTGGATTCTTAAATAACACATTGTCCCCAAGTCAATCAGAAACGGGCATTGGTAGAGTGTGAGCTTCTTCAAGACGAGGACCATGTCTTATCTAGCTTTATATCACCAGCTTCTAGCTGGGGACCTCATCTCGGTGTCCCCTGCTGGGGGCGTCATCTCAGCACACTGAAGATTTGCTCAGCAATATCACTCTATGATGTGGCCCTCCTTTCTTTAAATACAGAGGCGTCTCTGCTTTTTCATGTGGGAAAATGATGCTCAGGATACCAACATGCCCCGCTGGTCATCAATGTCAAACCTACATAGAGCAGTCAGCACAGGATGGGACCCTAGGAGCTCAAGGCTGATGAGTTTGCCGCTCAAGGTTTTGGCAATGTCATCAGAATTTCTGCAGCTGCCCCTCTATGGCAGGGTCTTTTTGCTGCATCCTCCTCCAGGAGAGTGCCAGACTAAAGCACAGGAAGGAAATGTGCTCCAACAGGAACACAGCCTGAGAGCCACCTCTTCACAGCGCCTGTCGCCGTCTATGCTATGGGCTGTGGCCCTGCCATTTGCACGTGCAGATATACACTTTTTTCCATTCTCTGGATTATATGGAATGAATGATCTATTTGGACACGAGCCTTCATGATGGGAGGGAACATCTCCCCTCCTCTCTTTCTCACCAGTCACACAGGGAGGAAATTGTATGGTGTTAATAGGCTGAAGAACTCTTGGGCACTCCAAGTCTTCATTTTAGCACCAGACAGCACATTTACATTACAGAAAGAGTAAAGATGGTTAATCATGGAGAGTTATTAAATCACATTCACAGTTTAATAGTGTTCATATATTTTTGTGTAGTAGTCATTGTCCTCTAAATATATTCACACCCACAGTTTTTCCTATCTTTAAGACTGGGGTAGCAGTCTGTGCTATTACCTTTTCCATAGGGGTAACAGTTATTATCATACAGCGGAAAGAGCACTGGACTGGGAGTCAAGAGAACCGGGCTCTATCTTCAGCTCTAATTCGACACTTGAGAACATCTGCTCAGTTCCCTCAGCTCCAAAATGGGAAGTCCAAAGAATGCAATTTCCAAGTCAGCTCCCAGATCAATCGTGACATGCATGTTTCTAAGAATTAAAGTGAGTTCAGTGGTCACCTTCTGCCCAGAGTCGTCAGGTACAAGGAGACTTGGTGTGCACTCCACAGGGAGAGGACTGCAGCATGTAATGTATACACCTCATACACAGGGTGTCAGCACACATGTAGCATATGTGTCATAGCACCACACACCAGGCAGGAACACAAAGAGGGAGAGAGTGTCTCATCAGACATAAGAATCCTAGGAAACTGGAGGCGTAAAGACTTCTTGTCCAGTTTTGGATAAGGATTCATTCTTATTCAAAAATGGAAACTACCTGTGAGCAAGAGATTCAGACTTCCTAAGCTATATGGCCTATGACCAGAGGAAGTGTCCATAGGTGTAGCTCAGCAGGGAGGGGTAGAAAAAGGGGAAGGTGTCCCCTACACCTTTTAGAACTACTAGAAGCCCTCCCACTGGGATGGATTTGAGTGTGGTAGGTGAAGTTCTGCTTCTATGATTCAATGCAGGGTCATGCCAGGTCCACCCCCAAACTACTGTGGGTTCATACAGCACTGCAGAATTTTTCTGCGTGTCAATACCATTAACTTTTCCATAGCAGTCTCACATATACACAAACCGTCTTTGGCTTTAGCAAGATTGCCCAAGTCTCTGAACTAACTAACGAAAGATCAAAAGGAATAGGAATGCATGGACGTTGTCTTCTGGGCTAATCCCAGTTGCCATGTCCTGCCTTCCTCTACCAACCTTCCACCACTCAGAAACCATTTCAGGAAACTGCTGTTGAGGGAAACTTGCTAAGTCTGAGCCCCTTGTCAGGGACATTTGAAGGGTTGAGCCAGATGAGGACAATGCTGTAAGCCCAAGGAGACGGGCTGTCACCGTCTTCTGAGTGTCAAACAGTGCTTTTCCTATTGTCATCTCCGTTCTCACTGCCATGCCTACCCAGCCCTGGCCCTTCCCTCCAGTCCCACACTTTCCCTAGATGGCATGTCACTTGACCTAGTCTGCCTCTTGCCTTCCACTGTGGTCCAGGGGTGGGTTTTCAGCAGAGACGCCTGTCCTGTCTCAGGCAGCTCTCACAGAAAGTGTACCACAAAGAGTCCTACCCTACTTCACTTGAGACGTACATCACAGCAAGGAATGGCAGTATGCCCTGTGGCTGCAGCCGCCGCCACCTGACTGAGTGTCCGCCTCCAGTTCATAGACTGAGGCAGACCCTGAAAGCACGGGATCCCAGTCTCTCCCAAAGGAACACCATCTTTGTGAAAATGCCCTGCTTACCACCCTCCAGCCCAGTTCCTAGAGCCTTGCCTTTACTAAGAGGGACTATTCCCATGTCATTACAAAGCAGCTTGTGCCAAGTGGCACAAGGAACTCTCACAACCGTGGGAGTCAGACTGCCCTGGGTTTAACTCCCAATTTTACCATTCACCATTTAGGGGACTCCTTGGCAAACTGCTGAACCTGGCTTACTTAACATGTGCGTAAAAGAGACACACCGATACCTACTCACAATTGTTGTGAGCATTAAACAAAACTGCATGTCAGCCTGGCACTCACTGGCTGCCTCATCTAAAGCTGCTGCTCTGGTTTGAACTCTTGCTTCTCTTGCACCACAGAATGCAAGAAATACCTCACCAAGTATGTTCCACTTAGGATGGCTAAGACATCATTGCTGCCCAAGGCTGATTGCATAGTTAAGTTGAACAAGTTACAGATCATTTTGTTCACAGGTAGCCATGAGTAACTCGATTTCAGCATATGGTACTTCCTCACAGCAACACAGTCAGTGGACCTACTAACTGCCACCTCCAGCGCCTCACCTCATGCTGGACTTGAACCTAAAGTTTTCGGGAATGTGACTGACAAGTTTGTCTAGGATTTTTAGACATTAAGATTGTGATGCAAATTGTCATTTGCTGGTAAGCTCTTGTGGCTGGGTCCCCTCTCTTTGACATTTCCATTTCCACTGAGACCATTTGTTCGCATGTGTGTTTGTGTCTAAAATGACTGCTCTCAAGACAGCACAGCAAGAGCTGACTCAGTCTATAAGGCTGCTTTGTTCTGAGTGTTTCAATCGTATATCTCAAATCCTGAGGTTGTTTGTCCATCCTAGTAAATGACTCATCCAGTCAGTCCAAAATGACAAGCTCTGCTATACCATGGGTCCTTTGCACCTGATTCATAGACAAAATTCAGAATACATGACCCACACAGGAACAACCATGGCTTCATTTGAAAAATCCCCAAAAGTTGCAAAAACTCCCCTGCCACCTGTAACACCAATGTTATTGGCTCTTTGTTTCTCTTCTAAACCTCCTCTGTGTCTAAGACACTACGGTGCACTTAAAACTGAAAACACACCCAACAAATTATACAATAGGATTGTTAGTCTAATTTCCACAGGCACCTCAAAAAAAAAAAAAAAACAAAACCACCACCACCAACAACAAAAAACCATCACCACACTGCAGTAGCAATTCAGAGAATATTTAGTCCTGAAAGACTCTGTGCATTCCTAGTATACTCTTTAGCAAAGTTTCTGCAACAAGTTCACACTTTATTAACTTCCCATAGCAGTCAGCACCAGAAGGAATTCTGCCTGGAGTTGCTAGCAAAAACAAAACACAAGCCTTGAGAGCATGCTGCCGGGTTACTTCTTAAAGGAACAATCATCCCCCATTGTCCGGCACTGCCCTGTTTTGGAATGCCCTGATCCGAGCTGTGTACCCTTTGCCCACCTACCCGTCCCCCATTTTGTTGTCTCTAGAGACTGTCAGCAAGATTTGGAGAGAGAAGATGCCACGGTTCATACAGAAACCAGTCAGTCACTATCACTATCTCGACTCGTCTCCCCGAAGCTGTGACTCTTCCTCGTCTGTCTGTGATGTTTCTGTGCAACGCTACTTCCCAGCTCCGTGAAGATTCTTTTACTCCCGCCACACACCCCACGCCCCCCGACCGCCAAAACCTCTTCTCCCTTTCCTGTCCATTGAATACCCCCAAAGCTGGTCGATAATTACATGATCTTAATTAAAGGGCTACAGATGAAATAACTGTTTCTCTTCGCTAACTCTTTTTCTAGAGAGAATTTTAAACATCAACTTTTGGATGCCTGAAAAGAGCAAACAAGACACATACGACTGTAATTTCTACTATCTTTAGTTTGGGAATGCACCTTTTGTTTTAAAACAGTAATGAAAAAAATTCTTGCTTTTGCGTTATGAAAAGGAGGGGGGAAACACTTTACTATCTGCAACAAATGGAATTGACCCTGGATTAAACAAACAGCTGAAGTTTAGAAGTAAAATAATTTTGCTGCTCTTTAAATATTTTGAGACTCTACAAGCACACTTACTTCCCTACAGTGCGCACAGCTTGGGCGAGATATTCTGCACATCTATCTTCCCACAATATAGATTATTTGTCCCTTCAAATGAAAATCTGCAAAAGATAAAATGCCCCTCTTCTGTTCTCACGTCAACGAAATGTTTTGAGAGCTGTTCTCTGATAACAAAATCCACGGCCAACTTATTTTTTTAAATCAAGAAGCAGATAGTTAAAAGAATACATTCTCTTATCAGAAGTTAGACAAGACAAACCAACTAAGACCTAATAAAATGAGTATATTGCCAAGAATTTTGTTCTCTTCAATAGTTGCACGAGGTTTTTGGTTTCTTTTCTTTTTTTTCCAGGAAAATGTGCAAATAGCATGGTTACCTGGATCTGCTGGTCACTTCTAGTTTTTGGACTCTTGGAGATGGTGAGTTTTGCTAATGATGCGCAGCCGTTTAAAAACCGGATAGCTTTTCTGGCAGTCACTCTTTGTGTGCCATCTTTTATAAAGGTGCTTCTTGTTGCTAAGAGATCAGTTGCTTAGAGACCAAATCATTAAAAAAAATATATATGTCAGGGGCCAACATAAATTATAACCAAATTGTGTCATTTCATCTCGGCCCCTGCATGTTTGGCTTTGTAATAGATCTCGGCGTACCTAGAGAAGCCAATTACTGATCACAAAGAAAAAAACTGACCACAAGGAGGGGGAAAGATCTGTGCGTACTCTGGGAACAGTGAGTGGTGCCACAGGCTCCTTGTGATGGGGGTTACACTATCCAAGGACTAGAAAACTTTTGCTTTTCGTGGGATCCTAGATAGGTTCTCTAAATGCATGGTTTAAAGCACACAGGTGCAAACATATACACACGCGCACACACACACACACGTGCATGTGCAAACGCATGCACACGCGCACACACACACACACACCTGTCAGAGCAAACTTGAGTGCAGTTTGGAGTATGAACATGTGTGGGAATTGTCAACTGCTTTAGTGCTTTCCAAAAGAAAATTTAACCTGAAATTTTACACTTGGGAAAATGTAAGTAGGATCTTAGCCTTTAGCCAGGTGTTTTAATGTTGTAGTTATTCAAGTCCAGGAATATACATACATACATACATACATACATACATACATACATACATACATACGGGAAACGAAGGCTAGCCTTAATGTAAAATCTCTACCTTTTGTTTTCTCCCTTGTTTTCAAATACAGATCAGCTGAAGGGCAGGTTAAATTGATAAGGTTTGGTTATGGGAGTTTCAGTCAGCATTTCTTCATAGCAACTTTGCCCAAAAGAGACACCCCCCCATTAACTCTTAGCTAATTGTAATACACACACAGCCCTGGGCAATATTTACATCTCAGGGATAATGCTAACAAATGAAAAATGTAGTCTTTTTAACATTCAAATGAATGTCATTACTTCAAGCTCCTAAACAGGTAGGATTGTAGATGTTTGAGGCAAAATAAGCCTTCACTGTTTAGCTTAGTGATGCAACTCTTGCACACATCTTTCCTACTTTCCTTCTTGAAGGTCGCTGACTCCTACACCTTAGGTGGGAGTAACATAAGTACATAAGACTCCGAAGTTTTGTAATTGAAATCAAGGAAACAGATAAATCTGTGTGTTCAAGGCCAGCACAGTCTACAGCGCAGTTTCATGCCAGTCACAGCTGCACAGTGAGACCCTGTCTCAAAAAAAGACAAAAAGGAAGACGAGGAAGAGGAGGAGGAGGTAAGAGATGAAAAGAATACCTTAGCTCTTGAGTTTGTTTTCTGTTTTTGTTTCCCTCTTAGCCTCCAACAGACTTCCCATTACAGACCATCATGGCCTGAATTTAATCAGTGTACTGTACTATAAGAAAGACGATGAGCTGAGGCTAAAGGATGGGGTGGGGGCCTGCACTGGGATGGAGAGGTCCTGTTCTTAGTGCAGCCCTAGCCATTGTAATGGTCCACTGTTAATCTACAAAGTAAATGAAAAGCACCCAGTGGGTTTCCATTTGTTTACACAGAGACATCCTGGTAAGAATATGACACCTAACACCCAGCAAAATAAATTAAAGAGGGGAAAATGCTAACTTCTACCAACCCACACTATAAATGGACACAGCATTTGAGTATCACAGAATGAACTCAGGTGTGCCTACCAAACAGATGTCCCTTGAGTGTCTGCTTCCCTCTCTAGATTTCCTGTCTCTGCTATTGCCACTTTTAAAGAGTCATGGAAGCAAACCGAGAGATCAGAGATGGGAGAGAAAGTGTCTAGAAAATGCTAATGAAGAAAATGAGAGAGCAAGATGGAGGAGAAAAATACTCCTGAGCTCGGTATGTTCCTTGAGGACAGAAGTCTTCTTTCCCTCTTTCTTTCCAATTGCAAACACTTTGCAGGGGATCTTGCATTAGAATGCAGGTACACATTGCTGTACAAGTCAACCGATAAAAAGAGAGAGAGGAGGCTCTGAGAAACTGCCAACACTTTTTTAGCACCAGGCCTTATGTGAATTAGTCCCCTATTGGAAGAATACTCTACAGAGATATTTGTGTTTTGGACCTAAGAGTATGCCCATCCTCTTGTCCATCCACTCTTTTTTGACTCTGGTTTGTCTTTCCCTATCTCGTGGTCATTCACTTCGAAATCTCAGCTTTATCTCTAGAGCATCGACCTGCCTTTGGCCATTTCCTGCCCATCTAGAGGTAACTGGGGCACCATCCTGGATTCAAAATCTTGGCAGATCATAGGCTGTCCTCTGACTGGGTTGGGAAGATATGATGAAGAACCTATCCAGTTGCTAGTACTTGAGATTACTAAAGGAAATAAGCCTGGCAAATGTTCCAAAGTTGAAGCTTCACAACCAATACTTCACACTAAGAAGTATGACCCATTGTCATTTCTTTTATTGTTGTATGGCAGGCTACTTGTCCCTGTGTACCTGGACCACAGAGTCCCCACACCCCAAGCACACAACTGCTAGACATCTGCTTATCCCAGCCTCAGGAATGGGACAGAGGCTCTATATCTCATAGGACCTTGGAACAGTGAGCACCTGTCTCCAGATCAAACAGATGGTACATGCAACAAGCACCATGGCATCCTCCGTATAGATTCCAGGCACTGAAAGAGCCAGCAAGCATTCCCTGATGCCACTCTCAACTGAGCACAAAGACCCTGGTGCTATAATTACCTACTCCACAATTGCCAGGAGTCCCCCACACCCAAACACCAAAGTCTTAGCATTTCTTGGCTGCAACCCAACAGACACCATTTCTAGGAAGGTTCAGACACCCCATCATTAGCTAGAAGGAAGGATCCTTTGTGTCCTGGGAATGTTCCAGTGTAGTGACTCTTCCTGTTTATCCAGGAAGTAGACCCCAGAAGAGCCAGAACAGTTTTAAGAGAAACATGATCATCTGGTTTAGGATGAACAATGTTTCAAAGATCTGGAACGCCCCCTTAAAGGCTATAGAGGAACTAATAGAAGCAGAGTCCCTGCCATTATAAGGTTGCTTGTTTCAAGTAATTTCACCCTCCCAGATGCCTTTGCTGACCAGAAATTATTCTTAGAAGCCAAAGACCGAGGGAAGAAAGGAAAAGAGGGCCTACCCTGGAGCAGTCCCATCCAGCCCCAGAGCAACCAGTAGAGTAGGGTTGAGGAACTGCAGGAAAGCGAAGCACAAAGGACTGCTCTTGAACTCTAGGCCAAGAATAGGAGGTCGGGAAAGGAAGGGTCTGCTCTTCCAGAAGATGGCAGCTCCTGCCAACCATTAGCAAGCTTCTGCCTGAGCTAATTGCCTTTGGGGGCTCTGAAAAATCTTTGTCAAAGTCCCCAAGAACCTCTAGTATGGTAATTCTTGAAAGAAAGAGCCTGGGGTCCATAAGTAGTGGACCTCAGGAAATGTGGTCAGAGCTACCTTCTCTGATCTCAGCCATCTGTCAAAGACACGCACATCCTCCCCTTTCTGGCACTGGTCACCCCTGTCTACTTAGCAAAGGCTTCTTATCCCCTTGATCACCGCACAGATTCTTCACAAGTGTGCCCAGTACTTCTGCAGCATCTAGCTCAAGGGCAAGCCAGGGGACATCCTATGGATTGTGGAGCCTCATAAACTCCTCAGGAAAGCTGACCTGAAACCAGTACTCGTCTCCCCTTTTCTTTTCCCTCTCCACTTCCACCATAGAAAATGTCTTCTGCTTCAATCAAATGCCCCAAACATTAGCCCACTAACCGTCTGGGAGGCATTTGATGGATCAACAGCCACCCTCGGTCAGGAAACCATTGGAGACAACTGCCAGAATGTAGAAGAATGCATGAAGAGTGTACCAACCTCCTTGAGCCCCAGAAGCATCATGCATGCCCAGCGTTTCTAGTTAGATATTAGACACTCAAGGTAGGAAAATCTCGTGCTGCAGTTTATGTAATAATTAAAATAACAACAGATCAAAGTTTAATAAGCACCCAGATTCAATTTCACCACTTTTCTTGGAGAAAGAACCATGGTGTTCTTCTCAGGGATCATTTGGCTCAGGATGACCCTCTTTACAACTGATAACTTACATCCAGTTACCAGCTGACAATTCTCAGGTGTTAATTGTCCTCATATGCAAG